CCACTTTTTTTCACCTCCGTTGAGCCTCGCTCCTGTTCCGACGGATCCCGCACCTCCGATGAAGTCCCATAGTAGTGTGGAGTTGCCTCGATTCAAGATGACAATTGCGGATCGCCTTGGTCCTTTGCGTGAAGATCGAGGCAAGGCTCCAGTCAAAGAACGCTTGGGCCCAATGAATGAACCCCAAACGACCCATCGAGCTGGGGTTCGCACACGCCCTCACAACAAATCAGAACCTTCTCATAAAGAGAAAACTCCTATAATAGACCGTCTCGGACGACGAGTCAAAGTCCAAGAGCCCGTTGAGACCCCGTGCTCACAAATGCGTGGCTCTAAACGCGTGACTCTTGAGAACGCTAACAAGATGTTAAAACCTCAGAAGGAAACGTGTTCGTCTGATGACGATAACGTTATACCTGGGAAGTCGTGACAACATACGATGGGTTGCTCCGGTAATTATGCCGATGAGTTATACTATCGGGTTAGGAGTACGAACAAGTCTCCAAAGAGAAGTATCTGGGAAATGGACTCTCATTGTCCGTGTACCAAACTTAGCAGGGCAGTATTATCAGCGTGTAGCTGTTTTAAGATCGCTCCACAAAGGGTCTCGGTATTCGAAAGAATCTCCAACGAAATGTCTAAATCCAAGCCAAAGCGTTACCGCAAGAGAAGGTCGGTCGTTTAAGAGGACGAACTCCCAGAGGTAACCATAAACATGGTCGACAAGGGAAAGCATGTGATTGCTGCAAATCGCTCGAATCCCGAATTTTCTCCAAGGAGAGAAGTCAGTTCGGGAATTGCCCAACGAATATCTCGACTCCAGCTAGAAGCTGTCAGGCATAGGGATTATCCAAGGATGCACGAAGGACTGTCTTTAGAAGAACTTTCGGATACTTGCTCTGTAATCGCCTCCAACGATACAATGTCTAGTAGGGGACAAGCTCGGGAGGTGTTCACCATCACTCCTGACATGGTGTCCCAAATTGTCGAAGACGCTCTGGCCAAACTGAGAGATAATTTCAAATTTGAAATAAAAATGGCTATGTAACAGATGAGGAAAATGCATGACCGACGAATCCAGGCTTTGATGAATCAGCGGGGTGAATCCAGTCGTCGTAACAATCCCAACCAAGCAGGTAGTGATTCAGATGTGGACGAACACCTCAATGCAGATAACCCTTCCGTTAACCAAAATGCTGGAGGTGGTCCTAATGAGAATAATGATGCTGGGGGTGGTCCTGTTCCTCCTCAAAATCAGTCAAAGAAGGATACGAGCGAGGATGAGAAAATGAAGGATCTCGAGAGTAAAATCAACGCACTGATGTCTGCTCTAGAGGTGAAGAAGACCGGTGTACCATGTTCATACCCGAGAGAGTGGGAAACTGGGAATCAATTCCGTACCCGGCGAAGTTCAATTTGATTAACTTCACGCCGTTCGACGGAAAGGATTCCCCACTCAACATTTAATTTATTTCAAGTCCTATTTGGGAGTAATCTCCGACAATGAACCTTTGATGGTCTGGTCATTTGTTAGCATCATTCGTTGGGCAACCTTCGATTGGTACTGCCGTCTCAAGTCGGAAGCATCAATAGCTGGGACGACATGGAGAACCTGTTTCTCGGTAATTTCTTTGATGATGACACCGAGGTATCGGTTAGGACACTTTTCGATGAGAAGCAGAATGACGGAGAGTCAGTCGAAAGCTTCGTCAAACTCTTCCGGAGTAAGGCGTTGAATTGTCGAGATCCGATCACGAAGGAATTCATTCTCCAAACCCGTTACAATAATCTCTCCATTGACGTGTTGGAAGCCATGGGGGTCGTGTTATCCAAAACATGGAAAGAGTTAAAAATTCGCAACGAGCAGGCCGAACGCTTCCTCAAAAGGAAGAAAGTTGAGAGAGGCCAATCGATGGCTAAGACACATGCAACTAATCTGAGATTCCAGGAGGAGTATTCTTTCGAAGATGATAAAGTTCCAGCCATCTTTAAATCCCTCCTGTGTTTTAAATATCGGCCGTCATGTCGGACATGACGGCCGATATTGCGGATTCGGAGCCTAGCCGCCACGAAATTGTTGAATTTAATGCGTATGGCGTTTTTGAGGTCATGTCGGGGACATGTCGGAAAATAGCGGATATATCGGGCGACATTTCGGCCATCAAATATCGGCCAAAATTCAGAAATATCGGTTTCACATTGACATGTTGAGATCATATGATTTGCAATATCTTTCACCTTCTATTTATGTAAAGTTTCACATTGTTTCCCATCCACTACCCATATGGGTGCTTGTTGTAGGTTTTAATTACTTGTTATTGCATGTGTTTTCTTTATAATGGAAGGCTATAAGAACACATGAATTTATTTGTATTAGGTGCACATATACTTCGGTTTTACTAGTTTCTTGTTTGGAGAAATGACAGATATATAATAAAAATCCTGCAATTGTTAGTCGATGCAGTTAAGTAGTTTAGAATAGCAATTACGAGTTTAATTTTCAATTTCAGTAGAACTTTCTTTTTGTTCTTACTAGTATAATGCACGCGCTTTGTATGTGAACATTTTTTTTCGGTAATCTTTCTTTTGAGTGTAAAATTATGAAGTGACTTTTATAATAACATAAATTCTTAAATTGAACAATTAATAAATCTTTACATTAATAAATAAAGTTGTGTATAAAGAATTGTATTAGTAATTTTTATATTCTGGATAATTATTAACTTTAATAAGAATTGTCTAAACATATGCAGTTAAGCTGTTCTAGTGTCTATTTGGTTTTCTATGCAAAAGCAAAAACTTGGTGGTTGCTTGTGAAAATGAAGACCTTCTCATATGTACTTTTTCATATGTTTAGACAATATAATTATCAAGTATGTGAAGATTTTATTTATGATATTATATCAACCTATCCGATATGGCAATCCGATATTTTTTTCATGTCCCCCGATATATCCCCGATTTCCGCTATCCGACATGAATTTTGGCCGAGCGACATGAACCCGACATCCGATATTTAAAACCTTGCTCCTCGCCAATAACAAAATCAAGCTCCTACCGTTACAAATCAGGAGGAAGCAAATAAGACTTCAGATCTGAAATACTGTGCGTATCACAGGACGGTCCATCACTTTACCAAGGCTTGTATTGCCCTCAAAAATAGTATCCAAGCATTGGTTGAAACCGGCGTCTTAACGCTGAAATAAGCCGAACGAGAACGGCATCCTCCAACGGGTATATGAGGTTAAACTGCTCCTTGATACTCTAATAGGTATACGATTCTAAACTGTTTCCTATCTTTAACGGGAAGTTCCTGGAAGAGTATCGCATGTGATATTCTTAAGGATGATTGCCAACCTCCAATAGGGTATACAAGGCTAAAACTGCTTCCCCTATTTTTAACAGGAAGTTTCTGGAAGAATATCGTATGTGATATTCTTAAGAATAACCCGACCATGTAGCTGAATACAATGTACTTCTCATTGGACCCAGTTTCGCAAAAAAAACTGGGGGTGGATAACCTATGTAACGGGAAGTTTCTGAAAGAATGCTATATGATGTTTTCTTAGGGATAACTCAGTCACTCCAATAAGGTGATGAACAATAAACTCCTACTTGGGCTCTGAATATTTCCAAGGGTGAAACGCATCCCACTTCCGGGATTAATTTCACCAACTCCTCCTGTGATTTTCCAAGCACTATTTTGCTGAGACGAGATTCGATCACTTTGTTGGATCAATCTTCCCTCACGAAACTCTCACGCTGTAATTGTGGAGTGCTTGACGATTCATAGTTCTCCATCATAAATTCCCTCACTGATCAAATCAATTGACGGTGGGACCACTAAAATTTTTTCTGATTTAATCCACTTAAACTCCCGCTGTGTCTGTGCACTCAACACTTCAATTGTTAGAGTCCGGACATAATTCTTGGAATTTTAATCTGCTGATCCTTGGCAATTGTCAAACCTCTTCGCGTTAAGTCATTATCATTTCACACCAAGAATTCCCACTAAGTGATTTGTACAAGTCAACACTCCCATTGTGATTTGTACTTCCACTCTCACTGTTCACTTGGTCAAACCTTCCTATAGTTTGGGCCAAAACCAAAGTCCCCTCTCGATTCCTTTAATTAACGAGAGGTTCACTTTCAAATTGAGCGATCAAACCTATAAAAATTAGGATTGTCTCAAACCCCTACTCGGTCTAAACCTATAAACAGTTAGGGCCAAAATCGGAATTTCCCTTTCGATAAACGAAAGGCTTTCACTCTTTCTTTCCCCTTCGGTCAAACCTATAAAAGTTAGGATTGAAGTCGGAATTTTATTTTCAGATCAGGTAACCAATTCTATAAAAGTTAGGGTTATCTGAATCTATTCGATTCTCGGATTGGAGATCTCACTCTTGGTTTTACCTTCCCTTGGATTCTCGAAGTGAAGATCCCACTTTGAGTTTTCTTTCCAACTGGCGATAGAATATTAAAAAAAATTCTCTAGTATCGTGTTTGTCTTTACCCTAAAGAAGATTTTAAAATAGAATATAAAATTCTTCCTTTCCAGCATCTGGAGACGGAATATAAAATTCTTCCTCTCTAGCTGTAAGTTTGGTCTTTACCCCCCCCCCCCCATTCAAATAGAGGACCTAGAGGTAGAATATAAAATTTTTCCTCTCTAGTATCGATTTCGTCTTTGAAGACAAAAATTCCAAAAAAATGCTAAAGTCAGCGCCTAACACGCGTTGTCGGTTTAGTCTTTCGTCATGTGAAAATGATACTAGAATTCATGTCTGGAGAATTTTATCCCGAATCCTAAGTAGGGATAAGTCAATGCCTAGCACACGCTACTGGTTTAGTCTTTCGCCGTATGAAAAGACGTCGAAATTCGTGTCTGGGGAATTTTATCCCGAATTCTAAGTAATGATAAGTCAGCGCCTAACACGCGTTGCCGGTTAGTCTTTGATCGTAAAAAGGACAAAAGCTCACATATTCGATATTATGGCAGGTCGCTATTAATAACGTCAAAATCCGCGTCTTACACGCATGGGGAACTTTATCTCGACTCCTAAATAGAGATAAGCCTACGCCTAAAACGTATTGTCGGTTTAGTCTTTTGCCGAGTGAAAAAGACATCAGAATCCATGTCTGTGGAAGTTAACTCTCTTAGTGCTACGATATCGAATACGTAGACTTCGTCTTTTTTACGGGAATAGACTACCTGGCTACATGTATCAGATGCAGACTTATCCCTATTCAGGGATCGGGATATAAACTGTGTAGACTCCAGCAAACATATGAGTATAAACTGTGTTAACGCCGGTCAACACGTTACAGCGAAATTCAACGCCGATCAACGCGTTGCAAATGGAAATCAACGCCGATCAACGCGTTGCAAATGAAAGTCAACACCGGTCAGCACCCTGACGACTTTGCCAAAATAAGGCGCGGGATAAAATTTCTAAGTCAAAATGGATGATTCCAGGGAGTTCAATCGTATTCAGATACAAACTCCTGACGAAGACGATTAGTTCAACATCAACTCAATGACACGTGCTATGTTCAGAAACTTGCACACCAACTTCAGTTCAAGATTTCGACAACTGTCAGACGATAAACGCAGCATCGAAATTTTTTTATCTATTCGACAAAATACTGTATAGACTGAAAGCAAAAGAAGTCAAGAATTAAAGCTATTCACAGGTCCTTCTACGCGATCTCCTCGACAAAATACTGAAGGGGTTGAAATGGTCTATCTTATCCAAAGCATTCCAGACTCATCTACAAAAGAATGAGGTTAAAACACTTTGGAGGGGATATCTGTAGGAGTCTAAAAATGCCTATAGGTATCCGAATACAGCTCGAGACGAAGAGAAGACGATGAACGTCATTATCTAAGTCAGAGAGGATTATCCGAATCAAAGAGGATTATCTAAAGCCGTAAAGAAGCTAACGAGCGCCTTAAGCAAGTCAACGAAGCATACCAGTCAACGAAATGATAAAATACGCAAAACGACGGAAAAATACAAGTCCGGAAGCCAAAAAGGTGCTAAGTGTCGAAATGACCCGCATACGTGCGGGTCACCACGAGGTGACCCGCACAAACGCGGGTCACCAAGTGGTGACCCCGCATAGGCGCGGGTCACTGTGGTTTGCCCCGCACGTCGGTATCCAAAAACGCGTTTTGACTGGTTTTCTCGGGATTTCTTCGTTCCAGAGTGCCCAACTGACTTGATATCATCCTCATACGTGATTAGGCCGTTATTGACTGAAAATAAAGGCCAAATCACTCATTATTATCCGAAAACAGGGTATCCGAAGCCTTATAAATACAACCCTAGGGTCCCCATTCACAGGGCGCGAATTTTAATCAAGAGGGCGAGGTGTTGTCGAATTGCAGAGCAAGAGAGCACGAATTTCAAAGAGGCTAGCAGATCTTGGCGAACTTCTTTAGCATAAAGAGTGAGAGTTCGAGAGATCTGAAGCCTCATTCCCACCATTCCTTGAGATCAGGCTTGGACTTGATCTCGAGAAGAGTAAGTGATCTCGCTTGGTCGAGATTATTCACTTCAGCGATTACTTCCTTTGTGAAGTAAGAGCTTTAATCAATCTTCTGTCAACTGGATCTGATCCGCGACGGTTCACGGATAAACCTCGGCACCGACTAAGATCCCAAGCAAACAGCAACGAGCGATAAACGTTATCTGCTGTGTGTTGTTTGAAGAAATTGTAATCAATTTTTATTTTCATTGTGTAAAAATCTTATAAAAAGACTATCTTTTGAATTGATTGTAACGATTGAAGTTGTAAAGAATTTAATAACGAAGAAAGCAATTTCTGACCCAAACAGACCCCTTGTAGCTCTATTGATGCGGATAACCCCACTGAAATGAACTTTTTTGTCTCTTTTAAGAAGTTGGTTCCTGTTACCCAAAAAAAAGAACACTCAGAACAGCCTATCCGCACTTGGGCAATGGTACAGGGGTCTATCCGCACTAATTGAACTACAATCTACAGGGGTCTATCCGCAATTGCACAAGAGTACAGGGGGTCTATCCACAATTAACCCCCATGTTATGCAGTCAGTCTGTTTCTGGAAGTTTAGGTGATAACATAATTGTGGTCTGTATGATGATATGTTCCTTATCTACTTTTCTGTTGTTAATTCACTAAACTAGATTTAACCTGAAAAGGGTCTTTAAATTATATTCTTGTGCACGACTCTCATTTGTCATCTTGTTCGTTCAGTCCTCATTTGTAGCATGTCCTCATGCAATGTGGAATGTTCAATTGTAATTTCCATCATTTTGTTGGATTTAATTTCTACAGGTTCTGAATACACCATCTATTAGAAAGAAATGTTGTGAATGTAGAATATAGGAAAAGGGTATGCAACTGGGGAAATCCATAACAGAAATCCTAATGGAATGTTGTGCAACTCTTCAGTACTTGTAATTTGTAGGGTTCAAGTTCAAATTACATAAATCTTAGTTCTTATGTTGAAGATTACCAACTAATAAGAACTAACGAATGCTTGTGTTCAGGCCTAATGGATGTTGAAGAGTACAAACTGATATTTGTGTTTAAACATTCAGTTCTTATGTTTTTGTTTGCAATAATATGTTTCGGTGCTTCGAGGATATTGACATCTCACTATTTTGTTGGTTTTGTGTTCTTATCGTTGTTCAATGTAGATGAAGCCATTGAACCAATTGTGAACTCAAGAAGAGGACTACGAGGAGGGCAACGATAGTTGCGCTCGTGATAGATTGTAATTAGCCATATACCTATCTCTACCACATAAATGCAAGCTCTGAAACTGAGCAATGCTAGTTGTTTTATAGATAAACCACAGAGCAGATCCATATGTAAATATTGCAATTTTCATATGTAGAAACATGTTCAAGTCATTAATGTACAGTATGTGATTACTATCTTTAATATCAATATTATTGAAGTAGATTACTATCATTAATATGATGGAATGCTTGTTTTTCTCTTATACTTGAAATTATTAGAGAAACAACACTCCCCTGGTCCCAAATGATCTCTTCCTGTTTTGGGTATGAATTTTCGGGCACGGGTAAATTCCTAATATTTGGTTTGGATAAATGTTATAGTACTTAATTTGGCATCATTTTGATCCTCCCCAATTCAACCCATGAAGTGTCGTGTTGACTTAATTGTGTGCGATATGTTATAATTGCAAGTGTAATTCAGTCGATCAGTATAGTACGTGAAGTTCAAGGGAACGATGTTTTGTGACGCATCAGCATTCATTCATGTTTTTTTTAACACTCATTCATGTTAGCCCTACAATCAATGTCAATATTTGAAGTAGATTATCATCATTAATGTACAGTATGTGATTACTATCTTTAATATCAATATTATTGAAGTAGATTACTATCATTAATATACAGTATGTAATTACTATCTTTAATCCCGATATTTGAAGTAGATTACTATCATTAATGTACAATATCCATAGGAATTTAATTTCATAAAATATCTAAGACCGTCCATTGAGGGGGCGCTCATTAGTCATGCCCGGAAATTGATAGTCATGGTTCCACATATCATGAGAAGTTCCCTTGCCAAACTCAAAAAAAAATGTATGTGTTAATATGAATACAAATTGATTCAATGTGAGTTATTCATGCATTATCAATTCTCAACATTTTAGATTTTTTTTTTTTATAAAATTGATTTACTCTTTAAATACATATAAGTAAATACTCTCATAATCACTCCAATTTTTGTACTTCTTGGACACTACCAACAGCAGCTGAATTAACCTATTGCGCGTGCCCCAAATGACCGGGAAGTTCCAATATGGCTTTCATGATGCTGGGGCTTGATTCCGAGTTGAGTTATCAAAAAATATAAAAATAAAAAATAGTAGTTCAATTGAACAATAAAAATTAATTTCTCTCATGAAATAAATAAATAAAGCTTTACTCATAAGGAGATCTGAAGCCTAACATTAAAAATTTTCTCATAAGTAGATCTCAAACCTATCCCATAATATTCCCTAAAATCCTCCGACTGAAAATCCTAGTAAATCCACAGCCTAAACCAAACCCCACCAAATCCTCGTGGACGAAAACAGCCTAAAGTTCCCGTCACCTCCCGGTAACCGCACTTCCTTCTACCCCCATCGCTTTTTTGACCGTTGGCATCTCATTTCATTGCACACTCTCCCCCTCCTTTTTTTCCCAAATAAAAACGTAACGGCCCCGATGCGATCCCCCCAAAAACTAGCCGTTACAAAAAAATCATGAATCGAACAGAGAGTAGAAGCAGACCCAAATCGAGAATCAAATTATACAGATAGAGGGGAGAGAGAAAGGAAAACAAACCCAAATTCTCTCTCTCTCTCTCTCTCTCTCTCTCTCTCTCCCCTC